TATGTGAACAGTGTCTGAGATAAAGAACACAGGCCTTTAAAAAAAAAAAAAAGTGGAATTTTCAAAGGACAAAGGGCCTGAAACCTGTTTTTGTTTATTCTTAGGTGGGTGACCTGAGCAGATTTACTTTTCTGAGGGTATTAGGGTTTGGGTTCCATGGGGAAGCAGGTGGTATCGCTGAGGGATGAAACAACGGCTGGAAAGCTGTAAGAGTTGATAAGCTAGAAAGTAGTTACCTAATTAGTAGTGGCATTATTGTAACTGGGACTCAAAGTATTAGCAAATAAAAGTAGTGATTGGATTTTCCTGGCCAGCTCCTTACGTATTCATAGCAGTGTGAGAACGGACTAATACAGTGGGTTTCCCATAACTAATATTTGCAGGACTGCCTGCCCCACCCCACTCTGTCTGGAAGCAGCAGGACTCCCCCACACACCCGGCCCTAAAGAGCAGGGGGCGTATGGGTTCTAGGTTTCACCAGGGCTTCGGAACCCTGGCTATGCATGGAGGGGCCAACCCCACCTCACCCCACCCACACCACCCCAGTGATTCTGAGTCAGTCCGTCCAGAGTGAGGTGAGGCCTCCTTTTGTTGTTGTTTTGTTAGTTTCCTCACTAGGTTGTACTGGGGAGCTAGGGTTGAGAACCGCCGTCTTAGACGAAGCTGGACGCTCACATCCACCGGCCCTCGAGGCGCCCTAGGCTTCCCTGGGTTCCTGTACCCGCGAGCCGCGCGTCGCCAGGCACCACCCCGCGGGGGCGGGCGCGGGCCGCAGAAGGCGGAGCCACGGCGGAAGCCTCGCCGCTCCCCTCGCTGGAAAGCTCTGCGCGTGACTCGGCTGCGCCCATCGCTGCGGGAGCCGGGGAGGGGGCAAGCACCGCGGCCGGGCGGACCGAACCAACGCGCCGCCCGGAGGGGCGACCTAAGGGCAACCCAGATTGGACCATTGCGCCACGCCGACAGGGGCCGGCATTTCCAACCCGCCCGGAGGGAGGGGGCGCCGGCGCCTCTAGGCTGCAACGCGACCCCTGGAGGGTGCGAGACAACGCCGCCGCCGCCGGCGCGGAAGGACGAGGCTGAAGCGAGGAACGAGGTAGGAACGCCTCTCCGGAGGCTGGCGGGGTCCCACAGACCCACTACCCCGCGTTCCAAGGGCTCCCTTAGGGGAGGGAGGGCCTGTCTGCCCACCTCTGTGCCCTCGGCGTCCTCCCTTCCCCCTCGGCTGCACCCGCCCTCTGCGTCCGCCCCGACCCTCTGGACAGACCTCATCCCCAGCCCTTCTGACCCCCGGCCTTCTCTGACTCGTCAACTCTGCGTCCACGGGACCTTCAAACATCCAGCACTCACCGTCCGTTTGGGCGCCACCCCAAATGCACCCCCAACCGTCTCAAACTGCCCCCTTGGAGACACCTTCCCCCACAAAATGACTCGCGCCCGGTAGTCACCGTGGTACCCCAAGCCCCTGTGATGGCTTTGGGGAAGCGCGGCCGCCCGGCACCCAGGCCCGCGACTGCAGCGGGGGCCTCCCTACGGCCAGTCCCCGGCCGGGTCCTCTGCGCCCTCTGCCCTTTTAGCCCCTGGCTCCCGTTACTATC